TGGTCCCAATATTCCTACTTGAATAATGTTAAAGCACCCTTAGGATATGTTGCCAGCTTTTTAACTTTGTTTTATGACGTCTTATCTGTAATATGCAGACTTCATAACCATTGATCCCCTTTCTTTATTCCATTTTGTTTAGCTCCTTCAATTGTTTTCTCGTTTAGGGCACATGTTTACTATTATTTTAAAGCGGGTCTGCAACATTTCGAATTTTGCCGTTTTGGAATTTATTTTGGAATTTTTATGTTTATTGTTGTCATTTTTACTTCAAAAATTGTTTATGGAAATGCAGTTATATAGAACTATATAAATGTTTATGTTTATATGTACAACGACAAAAGTTTTGCTTAAAGATTAATACAGTAAAGACTGTCTTAGCAACCACCTGTATATAGCGACGTTCTGTCTTTAGTGACCATAGTTAGGTGCGCCGAACAGTATTTACTATATAAATGGTCTGTATGTAGCAACTCCCTGTCTAGTCCGTACAACGACCATGATTTAGTCACCCGTTACGGTATTTGAGCCGTGAACAGCGACTTTTGCAAGGGGAGCAAGGCTTGAACTAGGTGACGACGTTGGCGAAGAAGTCGCCATCGGATCAGCGACTTTGCTTCAAAGAGATTTTGAAGTAGCCCGATTTTTATAATTTTCCGTCATACTTATTTACGCCGCTAGGTCTTTAAATAATTTGTTTACCTCTCAATTACAACCAATCACCATTAATCCGCTAATTAAGAACACGTGAGTTCAATACATGCCACAAGGCAAGAGTTCACTATGCTTATCTTTCTCATTACGTATTCATGCGATTGACGAATCAGAATGCATGTTGTAACTACGGCAGTTTGCATTGACCAATCGGCGACAGGCTAATACACTGTGGCTGTTTGTTGACAATTACACAAAATGGCTACAGATTCAATCAATTTTCGCCGATGAAATGATTCAAGACACCTGCATATACATAATTGCTGCGGTATTTTGGCGAGTAAAGATAGACAATGTCAAACGTCTTAAAGGTGTGGTTATGTTTGAAACCTCGACTGTTAATTTTTTTTCGGAACACTTATCTGTAGAAATTATGTGGAGATTTGTAAAGTAATCAGGCTGATGGAAAATTGAAATTTAACATTTTTTACAAACAGATTTATCAATATGAATTACATTTTAATGAATATGTAACTTTTAAATACTAATGTTATGGTGTAGTTTATAATCTTAACCAATTATACATGCAATTTTAAAACTCTCTTGTGTTTTATAATTGATATTTGATATGTATAATATCAATAAAAATATAATAAAATCCTTAGTATGGTACTTTTCTGCTTTTCAACAAAATATTGGTATGATATGTTCATTTATCCGAATTATGTAGATACTGTCCACAGTGACTCCCTGTCTATAATGACCTTTTTTCTTTTCTCCAATCGAAGGTCACTGTAAACAGTATTTACTGTAAATCAATCAGTAAAATGGTGGCGCTGACCCGATAATATTTCCTTCAGGTTTTCATTCTAACGAATTGGTAAATGGTCTTTAAAGTATTTTTTATGCTTTTAATGTGTGTAGGAAAATATGAAATGCATTTTTGTTTTTTTTAGAAACTTTGTATCGTGTATTAAGTCTGTGACATCGTATCACATCGTGCGTGTATCATGTATTATTTAAAATGAATAATAACCACTATCCCATCTGAAATGGTTATAAAACACCTCGCTGTAATGTAAATGCCAATGATTATCTTTCAAAGGTGAAACATGACTGGAGAGGTTGAACAACATGTTAGAAATAGGCTTAATCATAACTGAAGGCATAATAAAGCTTTTAACAAAACATTATATATTGGTAGGTCATTTTAGGTAAAATTATGATCTTTTAAATGACAATGCTAATCAACATTATTATTCATATATATCTTCTGTTGTCATTTTATTTTAGAACAGAAAGGTCAAGGCTGACAACTAGTTAAAGATTCGTTTGTTAGATATAACAGTTTGAGATATATTAAGTGCTACAAATATTGATTTTGTTTTGTATTTTGGGTATATCAACGATCAACGAGTAAGGATGGCTGGTATTCAACAAAAACAAATATCCAACTCAACCACGCAACACAGGATCACAAGCAAGCAGTCTAGCAGGACACCAAACAAACACAAGAGGACTAAAGGTAAAAGTACAGACCGGGTGTTATTGTTAAATATTTAAAGTAAGAAATCGTAGAAACCGACACGGTTATTAAATGAGACAATTGAAATGCCAACAAAAGGATCAGAGTGTAATTTACAAGGCAACAAAGACCAGAAAAGGGAAACAATATCAATAAGAACGAGACGAATGGGGTCATACTTACAGTAGGCGGCAAAAAGTGGAAGGGAAACAAAACCTTAAATAGTGCCAAGTCTGTTCCTTTTAAAATTATACTTCTTTTAAATAATATTACAATTTATCAAACTATTTTTGGCCACGTTATTTTGCGTTGGATTAAAAAGATAGTTCGAGAGAAATGAGACTTTAAAATCTTGTCCCCCAGCTCAATAAACGTGAGAGCAATTTTTCGGAAAACGTTAGAAGCATGTTTCGTTTCAATCATTGCCGCAAGACCTTTGTTACACAGCAAAAATTAAATATGTGATATTTTATGCCGATCATGCAGACTAATATAAAAGACTTCATATGGGGAAGTTTATATTAATGATTTGCTTGATTTTGTAAGCGCTTGCAAAATGCAATTTCCTTCTTTTGTTTTGCTTTGATTTAATTATTGATTGATATATCACGGTTTTTGTAGAAGCAAACAGGAAATACATGTACTCGTATCAGAGAAACAGATTTCCACTTCTTTTTTAATTGAAACTGTGCTTTTCTAATAACAGTTATAAGTATCTAGAGCATAACTACATTTGTATCTCAACGAACTTTTCACTGCACTCTGCACTCCCTATATCGTTAATCATTTAAACAATACCCCCTGACAACAGCCAAAGGAAAACAATGCTCTTGTAGTATAAGTAGCAGTAATTGCCGATGTTCAAAAGTTTAGCTATAATTTAATAGTGATTTTCAATTTGCGTTCTTAACGTACGCTTTTAAAATGTACGATTTTTTTTGCTTGTTTTATGAAGAACAAACACAACTTTTTCTCTTAATTTGAATTTGAACATCGAGATACCCTTATATTTATTCGAAATGAAAGAATGCAAAAGAGTGTTATGCAATCTTATTTACTGACAGATTTCACTCGCAGTAATCTTTTTAACAGGGTTTAAGCAAACGTATTAAATGTAATTCCGATTCCAAATGAATTAGTATCTAATGTCTGTCGTATGTTATTTCAACGATATAAAACCCACGTCTGGGTGAATAAAAGTGTTGAATAATTACTGATAATTACGAGAATATTTAAGACAATAACTAAAAGGTAAAAAATATTTCTTATTGAATTTTAGCCCAGGTACCACTCAACCTTAACCGTGCTATATATTTTTCGTGGATTTGCTCATCTTTCATTTAAGACGTTGAAACGTTTTCGGGCAAATTTCTATTGATAGTAAGTATTAACCAATTTATTAAAATTACTTTTAACAAAGATCATAAAAAAGAAATACAATGTAGCTACATTCAGTTTATTACATGTGTTTCAAACAGACTCCAATTTTTTTTATTTTTTTTTATTTTTTTGGTGTCCAGACATCCAAAAAGTTTTTTTTACAAACCACAAACTCTGCAACCTCATTGTGGAGAATTCGGAAGACAGTACAATTTCTATTTGCATAAGAAACTCTGCCTTTATGTCATTGTTCATCAATAGAAAATCAACAAACAGTCCGAATTCAACGGAATATTTTCGCATTTTGTTACGAATGTGTTCATTGATCTTTTTATGAGGTAATTAATTTTTGTTTATGACAGGGCTAATGCACCTTGAAACTAAAACGGTAAAAGTTTGTTTGTTAGAATATCTCATATTTGCCGTGATCGACCTGGTAACAATTGTATTTACCACTGTGACATAGCGCATACAAGAGCTTATCATACTAGTCTCTATATGTTAAAATTTGAATATGAACTTAAGTATTACTGTAAGGTTTTCCTTTTAAAATCATAACTTATGAGCAATTTTCATGAGATTTACAACAAAATGAAATTAAAATTAAATTGTTAATGAAACTATCGAATGCTTGGTTTTAAGCCGACGGAAAAAATACGTTAACATATTTTAATTCATGTGGCTTTATTGAACAGTGTATGGCATTAACAGATGGCACAAATGTGGCGGCAATCTTGATCTGAACTGAACTATGTAGAATCTGTTGCCGCCAAGAAGCTTATAGCTAATAAAGAGTAGTACAAATTTTTACAGTTTAATGTTTCTTTGAACAACAATGTTTGCAAACAAGAACATCAAGCTAAGGGAGTACACACTACGGAAATCAATTTAAGGATTTTAACATTTATCGCATCCAGGTATTATAGTCCGATTATTGTGAAAATTACATGATGATATCTTCTCTGTGAAATTACCAAAAAATAATGTCTCTGTATAGTTAGGTTGATATATATTTATTGTTTAGAAATTTTTAGAAATAAAAATGATAATTATAATAGCTAGCTTTTTATTCTCGAGTTACACCGCAAAACAATGTAAAAAGGACATTCATGCCATACACTAGTTGCTTTATTTCTTTTATTTACCATCTTTTTAAGATAATAGGTTTATGACTTCCCTTTGTTTTATCATAGTTACTTACATGTTTATTAACACAAGTACACAATGTTCTTTGTTCAAATGTCAAATGTTGTTGGTTACTACTTTTTCTTTTGTAGATTTGAAACTTCTTTGTTGCGATTTACTTTTCTTTACTTTAATGTTGTTTTTGTTTGTTTGTTTTTTTTCAAATTATAGGTAATAGTTATTATAGATAAATCTATGTTTTGTCGTTAATTGATACATGCTATCATCAAGGTATTTATAGCAATAGTATATGTTACGGTATTGATACGGTATCGGTACGGTATAGGTAAGATTATTTGTTGTCGCGGAGTTACTCCCCTTTGTTTTTTGCGCCTTTTGTCAATACGTAGCACAAACGTTTGTGACGAGACCACATGTTCTCTGAAATTTCTTGTAATTTCAACCTGCGTTGCGTCTTTTACAGCCCAAATAGAGGTATATTATCTTCATTACACCCTTAACTTTATTTGCTATAATGATTTAAGACAAAATTTTCACGTTTATTCGGTATGGGATGTTATATTGAATTGAGCGTAACCATATTTCGGATAATTTAGTTTTGGATAACATATTTATATTTTTGTAACTGTTTATTTGCAGTTTGACGTAGATCTTCGGATCTTCAGTGAAGTAAAGAACTAAAAGGGCTGTTGCGTTGTTTTATTTCTTGATTTACTGCTGCTACAGTCAAACTCTATGACCTGCACCTAGTATGAGTAACAGTAAATTGAGGAAACATGTTGAGAAGATTTCCTTTCTTGGACATCCTTCAACATTGCAGTGGAAACCAATAATACTCACAGACAGTAAAGCTAAATATCTGAAATCAATTAATGAGCATTCTTTTCCAGAGAGTCAAATAAAATGGCAGTATAAAGGTGGTATGAAAACAAAGCAACAACTTGATTGGCTTACACATAATCTAGATAATCTGTTGAAAGAATATGGTAAAATTTCACTATACATCTGGACTGGG